GGGGGCCCGCAGGTCATCAGCCGGGTACGAAAGGTGGAGGTGTTCTGAGGTCATGGCACATCTCGTGAAACTTTCAGGGTTAGGGTTAGCGTGGTCCTGGTGGAAAAGTGCTGTTTGAGCTCCTGCCTGGGGGTCAGCGTGTGTCTGCAGAGCCTTCAGCGCCTGTGCGCAAGGGCACTCGCAAAAGAGGATAAAGGGTGAAATGAAAACTGCTACGAGGAAGATTTCTGCCATGTCTGTGACAAGCTGGAGCGGCATGTGACAGCAGCTGTAAAAGGAGGACAAGGAAGTGCAGTTGAAGGGTCCTTCTTGCCTTCTGTCTTCCCCCATCCTTTTCTTCTGGTCTTAAAAACTAATTAGAATGTTTGTTTCTTTCACTCCTAGAGTGGGTGCTTCTATTTAGGCCTGAGAACAGCTGCCTTTCCCTGGCCAAGATGTGGCAGTACCAGCATAATGCAAAACTCAAGACATGGAAGGTGCCAGTGTACATGTATGCTGGCTGCAGGGAGAGCTGCTGCCATGCTGCAGAGCCAAAATCCCCATATTTTGGAAATTGACCAGAGCTTCAGAAAGGTTAACTGAAGTGAGGTGGTGAGCAATGGGGGTTGTAGGAGAGACAGTGGATAGGAAACTCCCCCTGGCTGCAATCCTGCCTCTGCCCTTGCAACACGGTTTATCTGCAGTTTTGGAGGCAGATTTTATTTTTAATTGACAGAAGTTGAAAGGGAATAAAAAATATGTGAAGGTTTCTTTCCAGCTAAAGTGTGAGCTGAGAATTGAAGAGTTTCCAGTTCCATTTAGAATTTTTTCATTGCAGACAAAGAAGAGGACTAGCTGGATTGTAGCTTACAGTTGCTTGTCACTTTGTTAGGGCTTAAATGATTTGCATTTACTTGCTGATTTGTGCAGAGTTTCTGCTGCAGGACTAGCAGGTTTGCAGTAAATTCTCTTTGCATACCATCCTTTTAGGACTCTTCTAAGCAACTTGTTAGGTGTTTTGGAAGAGACCAGTCTTTAAAGCTTATGTGGAAGTACCCAGCATCCGTTTCTTGTAGGTGAACGAAGGGAACCTAAGCAGACAATTCTTTTTAAAAAAGAGAAATCATGAGGGTGAATGCTAGTTTCATGCGGTGTGCAGGTGGCTTTCTGCATGTCAGGGAACTCATGTCTGCCTTTTTATTTTCAGGAGGATCTTGAAGCCCTGATAGCAGAATTCCAGAGTTTAGATGCTAAAAAGACCCAAGTAATTGAGTCATCCTGCCCGCCCCCCTCACCCAGGTAAGACATTGAGGCTATCACTTATACAGTGGTTTATGATGCTTTTAATTAAATTTATTTATGTAAAGTTATTTCCTGAGAGTGGAAGGCATCTTATCTGCCATAGGTGATATCTGGAGTTATAAAATATCTAGTATAGTGAATCCCTGCTTAAAAAAGGGATGAAAAGCTTTTTTACCTTAAAATCTGCTTTTTAATCATCCCATCAGCACAAAGGAGGCAAAACAGGGTTAGATTACAGGGCTTTGAGGAAAGAGGAGGTTCCTTGGGAGTTATAGGGATCTGTTTCTGCATGGTACAAAACTTTGGTAGTGTGTATATGAGCAATGACCAGTGGTGACTGCAGAATAATGGCACAGATAAGTTGGTACGAGACAGCTCGGTTCTACACATAGTTACATGCCCTCATAAAACTAATTTTTGTTCTTGTCACACCAGCATTAAAATTCAAGAGCTCGCGTCAAAAGGCGTGTTAAATGACAGTGTAACGCATGCTTCTAAAATAGGAGAAGATTTCAGACAGTGCCAGATTAATCTTGCTGAAAGTTTTTAAGAAGTTAATTTCTTTGAGAACTTTCTAGCCCTGAGGTGAATATCACAGCCTAGTAATTTGGCAGATGATGGAGAGACCTTTGTGGCTAGAGGGCAGAGGTGCTAGTGCTAGCTGAGTTAAAAGCTGCAATCTTCTGAGTTTTGCAAGACTCTTACACATCTACTGTTTTGGCCATCCCTCTTTCTTTTGCAGGCTGAACGGCTCCCTCTCTGCTCACCCTGAGAAAGACGAATTGATCCTTTTTGGAGGTGAATATTTCAATGGCCAAAAAGTAATGTATACTTCCATTTTTTTCTTCTTAATTCCACCCTCTCCCTGCCTTTTACTGTAATTTGCATGAGTCTCATTTCAAATGAAATTCTAGGCAGCAGTCATAAAATATGTATTTGTCCCTGAATGAGAGGAAAATAGCCTTTTAATTCTGCCATGGTACCGTCTCATGCCTGAGCAGTTGGCAGGAAGGAGACATGCTAGAACCCATTAAGGAATCAGAGTGATTGTCTCAGCATCAATATTTCAGGACTTCATAATTTCTCCAGACTTAATTGTAGCCATATCTGCCCCTCATTTTTGATAACTATTAAAGACTATCTATCTTCCACCTTTCAAAACAAGACGCTTCTGCAGTTTTGCTGCTGGCAAGGCATTACCTGCCTTGGAGATGTGTACAGTAGCAAATATTTACAAGTGGGCACTCTTCTGAATTTCTGCAAGTTGCAAGTGTTTATTTTGCTCCTGGACACAAACTGGTCTTTATGACCCTAAGAAGTTGTAGATACTGTAGCTTGAAAACTCAAGCCTGCCAATGATATTTGGCTGCCTTAGGATCACCCAGTGCGATGGGCTGAGCTAATTCTGCTTGCTTCACCACCTTAAGCTGTTCCTGTCTCTGAAGTTGAGCAGCAGTTTGGGCAACTTTAGCCTGCACATCTGTGTTAAGCTCCAACTTTGTAAATCCTCACACCTTGAGCTATCACAGGCTTAACCAAGGGTTTGGGAAAGAACAGTCCAGTCCTGTGCATCACTCTGAAAAATCTGCAGCCTCCCAGCCTAGTGGAGGACGTTGCTGTCCTTCTGCCCTGTCTGGTGAGGCCGGTGAGCTGTTGCTTTGCAAGGCTGGTGGTGTGCTCCTTCTCCAGACTCACAGATAACCCTCGGGGATGCCTGTGCTTGGACAGACTGTGTTTTTTCTCTTCCTCTCTAACAGACGTACCTGTATAATGACCTGTATGTTTACAACATCCGGAAGAACAGCTGGTCTAAAGTAGAGATCCCCAACCCGCCACCGAGGCGATGTGCTCACCAGGTAAAGTACTGGGTGCCAGAGCAGCAGTTGGAGTTGTTCTAGCGCTGTGCTAAAGATGGATGGGAGTTGATTTTTTTTTTTTTTTCCTCCCCCTGAGAGTTTCTAGCTTTTCATTCTCCTTGTAATGGGCTGTCAATGGTGTCATTTCACCTCCTCTGCTGAGCAGGCCTGTACAAACCTGTCCGAGGTGCTTGTGCTCTCCGATCACTGGGTGGCCTCTGGAAATGTTAAGTGTGGAATGAAGATTTGGGGTTGTATCTGTTGGGTCAGCAGGAGTCAAGCAGGACTCATGGGGGAGACTCTCTTTTTTTGAAGATGAACTCTCTTTACTGCATTATAAAGCAGCAGCTCAACCATCCATAATCCCAGGATGGCACTGAGTTTTCAAAATGCTTGTCAGGGTCTTGGAATTTGACTGAAGTGCTACGAATGGCAGAGTTGCTGTGCGTGATTATTTCCTTAATGCCCACAGGCCTGCATCTATGGGCATTGCAGATAACTGCCACTCCAGCAACGTGAAAGATGCCTTACTTTCCCTGCTGGCACGTAGCAGTTGGGCTTTGCCCGGTATCCCAGCTGTACAATGGACCGTTAGCACTGACTGTGTGTGTCCTGCCTTTGTGATTTTTTTTTTTTTTTTTTTTCCCTTGGCAGATGAGCTGTTTTTCTTTTGTCAGCAAAGACAATAGACAAAGTTGTCTAAATTTTCTCAGGGATATCATGATGCTCCCCTAGAATTTACCTTTCTGGTGCCTGTGTCATTAAGGTCGCTGGCTGGTTGTGAGGATGAAGGATTTGGGTCTGTTTACTTTATGTGAACACCTGCACATTAGAAACTGGACCAAAGACTTGTATTTTTTGCAGGTCTTTGCCCCTCGCCAGCTGTCTGATAGATTATCTTACCTGTCGCAGCAAGTGGCTGGGTGACTGGTACATTTCAAAAGCTGCCATACAGGATGCGAATGTTATTTTCCCACCCATGGCCAAAGCTCTTTAGAGCTTCCTGGTAAGATCCAATACCCTGGTTAGGTTCATATACCCTTGTTACACTGCTCCTAAATGCCAGTCTTGCTCTGAGTTGTGTGTCCTTTCTTGAAATGAAAGGTTCTGACTTAATTTTTGGGCTACCTTGTGGTGCTTCAAATAGAACTTGATTTCAGAGGCCAAATTCCACAAGGAGACTATAAATTCAGACACTCGTTTTCCTAGGTGAAAAGGAGGTTGCTTTGTGGGTGTGGAGTTGAGAGGTGCTTGTTCTGGTGTTGGTAGCCAGCAGGTGGCTGTCTAGCAGCTGGATCTGAACTGAGCATGCAGGCTGTGTGCATCAGGGACCTGCAACTGGATTACAACAAAAATAAAAACCCATCTGAGGAGTCTTGCTTCAACAATAAGTTTTCTGTTTGATAACTAATTATAGTCACACAGGAGACAGTTCAGCCTCATCAGTTGACTGGTTTGTTGTCTTCCCTGTGACTTTATTTTAATCCATATTCTGCATTAGCTCAAAGGTAAACAGAAGTGTGTCTGTGGGTTTGGATGTGAATGTTTTCAGTCTTATTTGTCACCTCTGGTCTCTGAGATGCGATCCTGTCTGAGTTAGACTGTCTTCAGTACATCAGTCCAGCAGAGCTGAGGTGAGGATAGCTGTGGATGGGTGTTGTCAGTTGTTTAAGGAAAAAGCTTGGCTATGTCATGAATTTTGAGCCAGCTCTTCAAATTTTCACACACAAGTATGAACAGGCTGTTGTATGTACCTTTCCCTTAAGCTTTTAAGAACTAGGTACCCATGAAAATCGGGCATTTATCCCCTCTGCTTAGGTAACTTCATGTTCCCACAGATCCATCTTGCAAACACACCCCATATTTTCTCATGTGTTTAATCGTTGCATGTATAGGCTGGTTTGTGTCAGGTCATGGTCATGTGTCTGATGCTAAAAATCTTTGCTGTTTGCTGGGAAAGACAGACAGGTACTGAAGCCCTTCTGAAGAAAGAGGTGATTATCCCAGTGTTGATCTGTGATGGCTACCCTGGAAAAAACACTTGTGGAAGAATTTGTTTGTAGTGTAAACAACCCAAGAGGTCCCAGTCCAGGAAGAAATTTGCACAGTCATGTAGTTTCCTTTTTTGGATTCCTTAATTTTTCCTTAGTCTTTATGCAGATAAATCTAATGAAGTAGAGTCTTGCTCTTCTCTCCTTGCCTTTAACTGTCAGCTGGCATCGCAACAGTGTTTCGGTGCTGCTCTGTGCCAAAAAAAAAAAAAAACCAAAATCCACAAACCCCTTGGATGCTCTGTGCTACTGTTAACCAAAGCAGTAGCAGTCTCCTCTTGTCCAAATGCTGCACGTTTCCTTCTGTGTTTGGGCTCTTTTGGTTGGTGTTTTTTTTTTTTTTTTCCCCCCTTTTCTTCAGAGGGAGCAGTAGTGCTTTTCAGGTCTTGGGAAGCATCAGGTTTGGACTTGTGCTGCAGCTTGGCTTCTTTACTGTTTGTTCTTTCATAATCTACCAAAACTGCAAAGAGCAATTGTGTGCTGTTAATGGCCTTTCCCAAAAGACTTTTCCCTGCATTACTCTGCCTGCCCAGCGCTGGAGTGTTAGATGTGTCTTGGGGGTACAAAATGCCCCTGTTCCTCACATGGCTCAGAGTTCATCAGCCCCAGTATGTCATCTACAGGATGCTATTTATGTGACTACAGGTTGGGTGAAATGTTGCCAAGCCTTAGCTCTGGAGAGGTTTCCTTTTGATGAACAGAGAGATCTGAAAATTTTTGTTAAACTAAATCCCAAGATGCTTCCCAGGGAAATTTGAATTTGTAGAACTGGAACTCAAGATGCTAGGAGGTGGGAAGAGCTCAGCTCCTTGGATGACTTTCCTTTGCTGTAGGGAAGGTGTGCTAAACAATGAGTAACTTGCATTTAAAATTCCCCTTCCTTCAGCCCCAGAGAGCTGCTGGTGCCAACCAAGGCAGCAGCAGCCGCTGACACTTGCCTGCTCTCTGGTATTTGGCGGCAGCTGCACATTTAACTGATGAAGTTCTTCTGTCTCTGGTTTCTGAACCCTTGTCTGATCCAGCTCTTCCTTCTTCTCCTGGCAGGCAGCAGTGGTGCCCACAGCCGGCGGGCAGCTGTGGGTGTTTGGCGGGGAGTTTGCATCTCCCAACGGGGAACAGTTTTATCATTACAAGGATCTCTGGGTCCTGCATTTGGCTACCAAGACCTGGGAGCAGATCAAGTAAGTGATGTGTTCTGAAGTCAGTGATGTTGATCTCATGAGGAACTGTGCCAGCGTGATCTGAGTTTGATTCCTGGTATAGTGCTGTGATTTCTCTGCTATCTGCTCATCTCTCCCTTGAGTACAGAGGTGCCTATCCTAGAAATGATGGAGAGAACAGCTTCCAGAAAGATGTGGAAATGAGATATCTGTTCCAGGTCTGTTGAGGCCAAAGCTATTTTATTTAATATGTGATTTTTGGAGTATGGATGTGCTTGGGTGTTACTTAACTGAAGGAAAGAACAGTCATGAACAGCACTCTGTCCTCCCAGGCATGGTGGATGTAGATGTCTAACTTCAAAACAGTTCTTGTTGCCCCAGCTGCCTAGGCTCCTCCCAGCTGGGCTGTAGAAGACCAGTACAAGGATCTCCCAGTTTTGCCATTGCTTGAGAAGACAGCTTGTGTCTGTCCCCAGAGCCAACTTTACTCCTGATAACTGGCATTTGCTGCCTCAAGATTCCTTGGCATAAACAAGCCAATAATTCAGATCTGTCAAAGTAAATAGGTGCCAAAAGCCCTGGTAGTTTTTGACAGGAGTTAAGTTGTCTCAATATCTTCTGTGGATCTGGCCTAAAGGCCTCTGGTAATGTTTCCTTGACCTTTGGCTTCTCGGTTTTGCTGCTCATGTTTGTATTTGCATGAAGGAAGAAGAGCTCTGGTGGGTCATCCAGAAGACTGATATGCAGGAGATGTGACTTTGGTTCTGCCTTTGACAGAGACTTTCTCGTCGACTTTGGGATTGTCTCAGCTGCGGGATTAGTCAGAGCACAGCTTTGGATGGGCTGGAACTCCCGTGCAGCTGACCCTTGAAGGGGCACTGGGGAAAGCAGCAGCTTTGGAACATTTGTTCATCTTCTGTTTGACCTGTTGAGCTCCTGGTTACGAGTTCCGTGTTCTTCCTTCATGTGGGAAACCCTAAATCTGCCTAGGTTGATCATTTTTCCACTTAGAGAGTGTGGGTGCCTGTTGTCTGTGTCTTCTTGCACAGTAATTAAGAGGGTGGTTTAGGACTGAGCTGTGCAGAGATGGATACCCTGGCTCTCTGCCTTGGCACATGCCTGAGGCCACACAGTGAGTCATCGTGCCTGTCTGCCTTTTTCCCCTCCCTGCGAAATGAGAGCATTGATATTGCCTGACGAGGGGGAAATCTGGAGGTTTAATTTTACTAATGTTACTGTAGCACTGAAGGGATGCTGGCGTGGAAGGTGCAGGGGGACACATAGAGCCAAAGTGCAAAAATCTCAAGGAGTCCAAAACAGTTGGGGTTAAAAGGATGCTTCCCAGTGCAGGATCCCAGCAGCCGACCAGAATCCAGGGATCGTCCTTTTGACTTGCTCTGGGAGGGTGAGAGAAACTGCTCGATTCATAAGCGGCTGGTTCCTGTCCATCAGTGTGGTTCTTGGCTGCGGACCTGGCAGCGTTAATCTAATAACAGCTGTAATTTGTCATGTTGCAGGAAGCCAGGTTTTCTCTAGCGAGCCCTGCTTGTCTTTGAGAAGTGGGGGTGAGAGAAACCCACCAGGATGATGGAGGGCTCTTTAAGAGGTGCAAGGATTCAAAAGACCTGTCACTGTGCAGGCTGATGTGCCTATTGTTGTTAGAAGCTGACGTAATGACTGTGACTGTACCCCTCCCAGCTCCCCCAAAATAACTTCTGAATCCCTTGCTCAATCTCAGCCAAATAAAGGGGATGAACTCGAATGCGTTACATCCCTACTGGTTTCGTGTAAGCGGGCGGGGGGAGGAAGTGATGTTTGCCATCGAGTCCCTGCTGAGGGAAAGGGTTGATGTTTTGACCAAACTCTTGGTTGAAAAAATCCTCACCAGACAGCAGTGTTAATACTCAGCTGCAGGGAGAGCGAGGGCAGGAGATGGTTTTTTGTGAGCCATCAGAGAATCCAGATGAGGCTTCATTAGCTCCACCACTGATGGCGCAAATTGTTCTCTTGTGGGTTTGCAGATGCGTTGCTGTAGAGCTGATTTAGGGTTTTCCACTCCCAAAACAAGTGCTGCAGTACCTGACCTGCCTGGGAAGCGGAGCTGAGGTGGTTACGAGGCTCTGTTTGGCCTGCTGCTTATCCCATGGAGGAGAGCAGCCTCGAGGATGCTGAGTGTAACTTACACGGCAAAAGCACCGGTTCCCTCCCTGGACCTGAGCATGAAGTTTGGGTGTGTTGGGAGTTGCAGGATGGCCCCAGCAGTCCCAGGCCACAAGTGGACCAAAGCCATGGCAAGGGATTTTGTTGTGGTGGGTTGTTACAGTTAGTGAGGAGGGAGCCAGATGAGGTCCTAGTCCCACCTAGGGAGCAAGTTCTAGGAACCATGCTCTTCAGACAGCCCAGAGCTATCGTCCTTCCCCAGGTGCTGGTTCTCGCATGTCACCTTGGCTGCCATGCCACAGTGGGAGGATGCATTTGGAGACATCGACACTTTATCGTTTCTTAGTAGATAAAAGGATAAAAGTTTTGTAAGTGACCATTAGAAGTTACATGGGTGAAAGTGCCCTGGAGAGACGATCTTTTCTCTCTCCCTGCCCCGTGCAGGATCTACTCCATTCGAGCGTCCTGATGTGTTTGGGTGGATGTCTATCTTTCAGCCTTGCTGGAATTTTGAAAATGCCTCTGCCCTGGTCCCAGTGTTCGAATAAAACAAAGTGCATCTCCTCCCCGTCCTTGGGCAGAGCTCCAGGAGCTGCATTAATGAGGCATCTGGCGGAGGAGGCTGGGAGGGGATGTCTTTGTTTTAATGCTAACCTGACTGAGTGTGAAAATCAAGTTTCTGCTGCCTCTTTGCTTTTCCATATGGCATCTTGATTACAGTCTGCTTGGAAAGGGGAAGAGGAAAGGGAAGAGAAGATTGTTGATCTGTATGATGGATTTTTTTCTACTTCTTTTAGAACTATGATCATAACATGTGCTGCATTTCACTTCCTTCAGTATTTTGCTTTTCTTCCCCTGGAATCCCATTGCTGCTGTCATTTTGTCCCATAGGTTTCTCGTGTCTCTCTGAAGTCAATCACTGGCTTATTTTGGATTGTGATTAACGGGCTGGGATGACTGGTGACAGAGGGGTCATTTTAGGGACTAGTGCTGTTGGGAGAGTGAACGTGTTTGGGAAGACTAAATGGAGGGGGCAGATTCAGTATGTTGTCTGAATAAATGTCTGGTGATAGACATTTGGGATACAGACTGGTACTGAGTGAACTTTGGAGGGTGTAGTTTTAATGCAAATAATAGAGTAACATAATTATTCATTAAGAAATGTCTGGACAAGAGAGACAAAGTTTCTGTTGCTGTTCCACATGGGAAGGGTCACATGTGCCCCATTTCAGTGTTTAGGTATATTTACTTGGATTTTGCATGCACAAAGATGGTCCAAACACAACAAATCTCAGCCTGTTCGAAGACTTGCCAGCAATTAGGCTTATTGGAACCACCTTATCACGTGGGTGATGCACAGGATGCCTCAGTTCATGAACTGTTTGTTACTCTGCCTTAGAGCTAAGCAATATTTTAACCTAATTGCCTCATTCTTTCCTAGAGAGAACGTTCTCATTCAGCCCGGTGTGGCCCAGTGCACTCCGTCAAAGAGAGACAGGGAGCATCACACCTTAAGGTTGTGCTTGGGAAGTGGCAGGTCCCTCCTCTGTGGAGTTCTTTGTCTTGTTTTGAGCCTGTGTCCCTTCCCTTTAATTACAGAATGCTGATGATACTTCCTATAACAGTTTTATGAGATGTGGTGCAATAAATACTTCAGGGTAGTGTTTCACAAGCGTATGTTTAATGCTGTTTACAGAGAACTGGAGCAGTCACTGCAGTGCAGGATGCCTTTCAGCATAGGTTTGTTTCTGATTGACGGCTCTTCCCACTCACGTGCTGTCACTGGAAAGATCAGGCCCTGCAGCACAAGGTAGAAAGGTGCATTGGTGCTTAAAGAAAAGAAGGATATTTTGGTGTACCACTGAGTAGGCTTCCTCTGTTGGCTTAGAAGTGAGCCTTGTGAGCTTGTCCTTTGGTAGATCAGGATCCCAGTGTACAATGGCTTTGCAAGGGGTTTGATTTGAGGATTTGGTGCCTTGTGGCAGTGGTGTATTCACTTGTGTACTTCCAAACTGAGTATCTAGATGCATGGGAACACTATTTGTGTGTGCCATTGAACAGAATGCTTGTTTGCATTCACAAGTGTAAGATGTAAAACTGAACACTGACATCTTGAGCTTCAGCTGCCTCGAGTACTGGAGGATAGAAGTGCTTTGTCCTGAAATGCCCCTTTGATGGGATGTTCTATGCATCATCATTGCTATTATTATGGAAAGGTTCCGAGAGTCATCTTCAGCCAGAGGATGCTCAGGAGTGAATGAGAAGGTAACTCACTTATATAGTGTGTAGCCACTCTGAGATGTAAGTCTTTAATTCTTGCATCTGGGGGCTGAATTCAGGTCTGTTATGTTACTGTAAGTCCCAGAGTAACTCCACAAGCAAAAGCAAATTCCTTATGGAGCAGTTCTGATCAGACTCCTGCTGTACATGTGTAGAGCCAGTCCTTACCCAGACTTTTAATCTATTTTTAAAAAAAGTCTGGAGAATTTACAGCTCCCTCCCACATGTCTGCTTTCTGGTGTCAACCCCAAGAAGTAGAGTATTAATCATAAAGTCCGAAACCATTTCCAAAATGTTTGTTTTGGCCCATGAGCAATGATACAGGTAAAAGGAGACAGGTTGCATTTGGGAAACAAGTCTCTGAGCATGCAGCAAGCGCCTTCTGGAGTGGCAGCATGGTCATACGTTACTGCCAGTCCTGTGTGACTCTGCCATTTGGGTTTTCCAGGGTTGTGTTTGGAGACTGGGGACAAAGGACCTTGGCTGTATGAATAGCCCTATGTAAAAATCCTTTCTAAACTTTCCTTGATAGCCAGTCCCTGCAATGGGTAATGCTGAGGCCAGGGAAGCTGAGCTGATACCATACTGTGCAGGGTGAGGCGTCCCAGAACCGTGTTTCGGCATCTGTCCCTGTAGGTTGTATTGCTGGCCTAAGGAAAGGAGAGAGCAGCCTGCTGATCGAGAGCAAGTGGTGCTGCTGCCAGTGAGGCTTCTCTGAATTCGGATCAGGCCCCAGACTGGGTGATTTTGTTTGTGGCTTTGAGTTAATTGTACACTTGTGGGAACTTGTTTATTAAAACACACACATCAATGTATAAACTTTTTATTGTTCAGAATTGATTTTTGACTTGGAGGAGTCCTGTTTAAGAAGCAAGGCAGAAGATACTCTCTGAGAACAGGGTTTTATTGTTAATGTTGATTTTTAATTCCTTCTTTCCTTAAAAAAAAAAAAAAGATTTTACAAGGTGTCATTCTTTGGAATAATAATGTGGGAGCAGTGTTACAGAAGATAAAATAATTATTTCACATCTTGATGAAATTAATACTAGAGGTGCTATTCTGCAGGGTGACACTTAAAAATCCAGTAAATGCCTCGAAAACCCTGCTCTCTGTTATAATAGAAAATCTAAGCAATCAATATTAATTCAGCCTTACCTGAATGCTGCAGTTCTACTCGGAGTTTTTCATTATGACTGGTGGGAGATTGTCATTTTTGATGGTGAAAGAGGGCCCTCATTTTCTCTCTCCACAGAAATCTAGCACCACACTTTCCAGCTACCTGCTGCCAGTTAAAGTGTAGTGGTAGGGTTGTGGGTTTGGGTTGTGCTGTTGTTTTCAGCGCTGAGCCAGTTTCTTATTTATATAGGCCCTGGTTCTGCAACCACTTAACCCATGTTAACGCTGCCGGTTTGAGGAGTCTTGCTGAGTTCAGCGGTGCCAGCTGCGTGCACTTCGTGAGAGTCCTCAGCGAGACTGAAAACGTGACGGATTAATCCACGGGGGCAAAGAACACACAAAGCAAAACCATTTTCTCTGCCATTTGGCCTAAAGTTGCCTTTGTTTTGGGAGTTCTTGAAGCTGTTCTTGTTCTCTCCCTTATGGTGCTCGGTCTGGGGGGAACACGAAGGAAGGTGCATCTTCGTGGCCTCTCAGGAATGTCATTGCCAGCTGCCTGGCTTTGTGTGAAGCTTTTGGATGTGACAGATGGGAAGTTGTTGCTTGTTCCTGGAAATGGAAGTGGCACATTTAACTGAAAGGTCAGGAAGGCTTGAAAGAGCAGAACAGTGATGCGTAGCTGCTTTTTAATGTGTAAAATAATAACGATGACTTGTTTTGCTGCAGTGCCTTTGTTCTTGAGGAAATCTAAGTAATTTACAAAGTCTTCTCACTGGTTTGATGTTATATCCTAACTGCAGGCAGATGAGTGAAGATTCTACAGGTACGTGATTTCCTAAGATGTTGAAGGAGAGTGGATGTCAGAGCCAGTCTCTGGCTCTTACTTGCTACTTGGAGAAAACATCTCTGTCTTCTTGCAGTTGTGGGAGTTAACTGCTATTCATTAAACTCTCCTGAAAAATTAGCTCCTGAGTCATAGCACAAAAGCCTTCAAGACTTTGGGTGCTGTTAAAGGCTAGATGGGTTATCACTAGGAATAAAATTGTTACTGCAAAATGCCTGTGTTGCAAATACCAAGAGTTACAGAAGAGCACACATAGTGTTCTGGAGAAAAGGATACACATGTATTACGGGACCATTTCCCATGGTTTCCTATTCCAGAAGAACAGAAGCTGAACTCAACCAGCTCAGCTACCGTTGACGTCAATAAAAATGGACTGATACACTAACAGGGAATGGAACTTTGCTGATAAGTGGAATTTCTTTGCATTTCAGGGCATCAGGAGGTCCCTCTGGACGAAGTGGGCATCGAATGGTTGCTTGCAAAAGACAGCTGATTGTCTTTGGAGGTTTCCATGAGAGCGTGAGGTGGGTTACTCCAGGATAGCTGGTGATACTGAGTGCTCTGTAAAAAAGACAACAGAGTTTCACCAGTAGCTGGGCTTTAATGGAAGGAGTATCCTCAGCACTACTGTTACTGAGCTAGACTTTTATGTTCAACCAAGATCACTTGTCTTTCTAAAGTCTTCAAGTGTTTGAGAAACCATTGTACTGCTTAGCTAATCACTGAAGTAGCTACTCGTCCTTGTAGCTAAAGCTCAATACACCACTTTTGGCCTCTGAATGTTGTCAAAGAGCCTTGTCTTCCTAGAAGCATCTTCACTAGGCTCTGACATACTGTGGGGGGTCACAGCTACACTGTCATGAGGACTGTGAAGAGAGCTGAGCTACGTATTGTCTCAGAGACAGTAAGCAGCATAACCGCTGTCCCTGGGAGCACAGTGCAAGTTGCAAAGCCCATCCTGGATTTGGCTGTGTCCCTGGGAGTTTAACCTGTGCAGAGCACTTCCCCCTGGCAGTATGTGAGCTGGCTAGGAGAAGACAAACAGGGCATATGTATCTTTTTCCCACCCCCCTAGACAGACATAACTCTAATCTGTGTTCTGGTTTAAGTTATCTTGGACCATGTTAGCTGGAAAGAGTCGATGAAACCTCCATTGTAGTAAGGAATGACATAGGTAAAAAAGAACCCAGAGAGATCTTGCTTAAAGGAGGTTTGTCAGATGCAAATTGTTGCACTGAAATAGTAACCTTCATCTGAACAAATCTTCTGTACATTGTTATGGCTGTGGAAGGAGAAAAGCCATAAATGCAAGGACCTGAATAAGGTGTTGCACCTCTTTAAAGTTTCTGGGTGCTGTTCCTGAAGTGTTGTTTTATCCTGTCCTAAATGGTGACCGTTACAAAAACCCGTGGTGTGCCGATTTGCTCTCCCTAGAGATTACATCTATTACAACGATGTGTATGCCTTCAACCTGGACTCCTTCACCTGGAGCAAGCTGTCTCCGTCGGGGATTGGGCCTGCTCCAAGATCTGGGTGTCTAATGGCTACCACTCCTGAGGGCAGCATAGTCATCTATGGAGGCTATTCCAAACAGGTGAGAGAGGTTTTGTGGCACACCAGTGCAATGCTTCCTGGATGCTAATGATGGAAAAACCAAGGGGCCAAAGTGAAAGCTAAAATATGACAAATTCAGGTTGCCTAGATGGGGGTGATGCGATGGTCTTGACCTGTGTTGGCTGTGGAGTCCTGTGTTTTGACTTTTTAGAGAGGGCAACAGGCTTAGAGCCTTTGGGAAAGCAAAGTTGAGATCTCTGTACTGCGGCTTCCCTCTGCTCGGTTTCGCAAGCCCTGTCTCCAGTGCAGGGTTTGGTGATCTCATCCCATAACTGCTCGCTGCTCTGACTGATGATGTTTCTGCATGTCAGGCAGCTTCCAGATGTCCCTGGTAACAAGGGTGCATGTTAGCCTGTGCTTGTGCCAGCTTGGAGTGAACCTGCAGTTGTGCCCTTGGATTGTTTGTACGCAGAAGGGTTCAGGCTGCTGTGAACCAGTGCTATCACCAAAAGAGGCATCTTGTCCTCTAATTATGCCTTTCTTCATGCTCCTGTGTGGTGATCAAGGAGCTTATCTTGGTTAAAATTAATTTTGTATTTTCCTTGCCAGTCTAATCCAATATAGGGAGGTGATATTACAGAGGCAGGAATAAGCAACTGGGAGAAATGACATTTTTTGGCAACAGTGGTGGTTACTGCCAACTTAAAGCATTCTCGGGCAGTACTCATCTGTATTCCAGCACCTGCAGGTTAAAAGCAGTAGTGGCCAGGAGACTTGTATTTTCCTACATCAGAGAAAGGGTTAAGGGAGCAGCACTATTTAGCCAACTCAATAAGCCAAAGAAGACTTCTGATGAATTCCAGGCTTCCTCTGCTCTGCTTCTTGCTTTGTTAATCATGGTAATTTATACTGGATAGCCCTTTAGACTGTATGTCCTCATTGACCAAGTATCCCTGTCTCCATGCTGGGCAAGAGGAAGTAAATATTTCATTGAGCAAAAGGCTCCTGTAAAAGCTTTTAATGTTGCGAGTGCACACAGAAGACCCGGATCCCGCTGCTGCTGTCTCGGTAGAAAGGCATCGCTTCCAGCAGCGCGTCGCTGGGGGAGGAGGACGCGTTGTTCTTCTAATGTGAATAAATGAACAAAGAAGAAAAGGAGGGAAAGGGGAGAGAAGATAGTCTATCTATATATTTAGAAGCATTTGTGCCTCCTCACGGCCTGCGCTTAGGGCTGTGTCTCCTCAGATGTGCATTTGATTAAATAGCAGTAACAATACAGAGGCATTTTCTACCTGAAAGGGCTTTGTCCTCTTCCTTTTTCTGTCCTGTTTCTTCACTCTTGTGGGTGGGAAGGAATCATGAGCCTGCATGCTATGCTAGGTGCGGATCTCTCATGGCTACTGAAAGCAGCTGAGTTTCAAGTGCACACTGAGCCCCATGGAGATATAAAAGTTGACGCATGTTTGCAGTTGGTTCTATTCCACTTTATGAAGGAGGGCTCTGTTGCGCTGCCTTGGGTTGTTTTGATCTAATAAAAATTAAATAGAAGGGATGGGGGAACAGTAAGCTTGCCCTCAGCCTTTGTGCAGGGCACTGAGCTGGGTGCAGTTCCTCTCCAGCTTGAAGAACACCTCTTAGATTAAAACAACTGTTCCTGTTATTAATCGACTTCCTTTGTAATATAGAGAGCTGAGTCTGCTGCTCTCTGATGTGCTGTTCCTAACAGAGACTTCACTTGTGTCTTCTGCAGCACAGCCCAACTTTCAGGCAGGAATAGTGCAGCTGAATTCCCTTGTTGTGAGCTGAATGAGAAAAGTCTCCTTTATGGCTGGGGAAATAGAGGCAGAAGAGATCAAGTGACTTCTCTGAGGCACTCCAGTAGCTGTGGGCAGAGCCAGGACAAGAGCCTTGGTACCCAGACATGCCTTTGCCTGTCCCAGGACGCAAATGGTGAAAAAGGAGCTTTACAACCCTGAGTGCGACTAACCTGAGATGCTGGTGCACAAATTGACAAGAGCGTGCTTGATGTTTTGAAATGCATCATTCTTAGCACAGTGGTGTCCCTGTGCTCATCTGTTTTGTCTTCAGCCTCAAAATGATAAAGGCAACTTCTATGATCGCTTACAGAAGGGCATTGTCAGCTCTGCCTAAAACATACCTCAAAAATCCTGCAAGGAGCTCAGACTCGCTCTCCTGCTGGTCTTAAAGATGTCCTTGCCCGTTTCTCCATCTGGGGATGGGGCTTGCTGCAGCAAGCTGCATTTTTGGCTGTATAAAGCAATGAGACCTCTCTATTGCTAGGCAACGTGAGCGCACTGTGCCTGACTGGCACGGCAAACGCAGCCGGGAGGTGTTGGAGCCTAACGCTGCTCTACCTTGCAGGTGCGAGCAGCCTACAAGCCAGGGGAGGGCTGGCTTGACATGTGTACAAGGCTTTTGGATGCCAAAGACGACTAGCGTGTGGGGGCTTTGGAGGGTTTTGGGGTGTTTTTTTTTAGTGGCAAGCTTTGCAAAGCTGAATTGGATTCTGCTGGGAGATCGCTTGTGGCAGGGGTGAAGTGTTTGCCTGGACTGCAAGGTCACTGTGAGTGATGTATTCTGGATGTATTCTGATCTCTTTTATCAGACACGTTTAGTATGTTCTACACGGGGAATCCTGATTCCCCTTTTTAAGAACAGCTCTCCATGCCTCAGTTTCCTTGCTCTTTGAAGGAGGATAAACATGCGTCTTGCTGTCTGTCAGTGGAGCTAGGGTTGTTTTTTAGCTCCTGTAAGTTGCTAATGTACCTGTGTGTGCAAACAATAGGCTGCGGATATCCAAACCAGTTTTGTGCTTGAAAGCAAACACCTGCAACTTCAAGCCAAGAAGGACAGCAGGGGGAACAGGAGCCTCTTGCGACTGATGGAGCGATTTGCTCAGGGTAGGCGGGTGTCCTGAGTGCGAGGGGATTGATCTCACCGGTAGTGGTGTGCTGCTTGCTGGTGAAGTGTCTGCTTTTGAACCAGTGTGAGCTGGGGAAAACAGGCATCTCTTTGACAACAAATAACTAACTCCCACACCACCTCATTGGGGGTTTTCTCAGCCCAAGAAGCTTTTTCATGTTGCATACGCAGCATGTTTACTACAGGAAGCCGTGTTGTTTTCAGGAGAAAAAGAATGCAGTTATTCAACGCAGCTTGTACAATAGGGAAGCCAATTGCTCTCTCAGTGTTTGCTGTTTCCCTTCCTTTCACGCAGATAGTGCACATCTTCCTGTGCTCCTGCACCCTTCAGCCTGTGTGTCTGCAGCGTTTAAGGACAAGCTGCAGCCTACCTGGGACTGGGGAGGAAATAACCATTTCTGGTAGCAGACAGGCACTTTGCGGTCCCTGGGGTGCACACCACTGCTGTAAGGTGTGATGTCTCCAGCCTGTCTCCTTCTCTCGCTCTCCCTGTCCTCTGCCCATCCACCCCTGACAGCTCTTTGCGCAGCCAAGGCTTGGGAGGATGTCTGATTAAGGTGAGGGCCAGACTAAAAAGGCTGCTGTATCTCAGCTGTCCGCAGCCTGCAGCTCGTTGGTGACTTCTGCTGCTCTAGACTTGTGTGACAGAGACAGCAAAGTGTGACACTGCCAGAGGATGGCACTTGCTCGGCACAGTGACTCACAGCCCTTTGAACTCGAGAGCTTCTGCTGTACATGCCACAATACATGCACTGCCAGGCTATGAATTGGCGTACTCGGTACTTAACAGCACCTTTCCTAGAAGGCGTTTCTTTCCCTTCCTGCCCTGGCAGCTTTCTCTCAAGCGTCTTTTCAAAGTGGGTAGCTCCCAGGCCCTCTGACCATGTCTCCTACACTGCAGCTCCTCTAGCTATGACTCAGGAGATTCATGGTTATGGGTGGAATAGTAGGCATCTTTGTACCGGTGTGGCTTCTCCTTGCCCTGGTCCCAGCGTTTGCATTTTCAGCACGGGAATGTACACGTTCAGGCTGCCATTAGGCTCATCGGTGGGGTGGTGAGTTCAGAATGGCACAAACCACCACCCTAAGCTTTGAAGAGTTGGACCCGCTGTGTTTTGAACCACTGAAACTGTTTCACCGAGCATCCCTGTCTTTCCCTTCTCTGCAGAGAATTAAGAAAGATGTTGACAAAGGCACCCTGTCTGCTGAAAACCGAAGGTGCAGGCAAGGAGGAAGGTAAGCTGCTGCTGCAGCTAGGAGGGCTGTGCTGGAAGTGATGCTGCAGGACTGTAAATGCAAATCCTTTCTCTTTCTTTGAATAACAGACCAAAAAACCCCAAGCCTGGAACAAACCCTCTTAATGAAAAGCACTATGCCTAGTGTTTGCTTTGGGGCTAAACACGGCAGATGAGTTCATTTAAATATTTCTTCTTCCCAGAAGAAAGTGCATTTGTGTACTGTGACCCTAGCTTAAAAAGAAAGGGGCTAGGATGAAGGAAGCAGCAGTTGCGGGGCAATATTGGAGGAATTACATCCTCCTTTCTTGTTTTTGTATGCTGGAGAAGGGAGACGGGCCATCACACATGCAGGCAGAATTCTTCACTGCCGCACTCTGCAAAGGGTGCGTGTTGCTGCAGGAGACTGTACGCTGCACAGCAGTTCTGACCGCTTCTCACTCTCCATTTTACAACCTGAAAAGATAAGGCTGTGTCTGCTTTGCTGAGCACAGCTTGCTGGCTAGCCAAAGGCTGTAAGGAGTCATGGTTCTCAGCTCCCGGTGACTTGATTTTGGAGCTGATGTAGATAGTAGCTCCGATGCAGTGAAACACCGGGGATTGGAGCTTGGTGAGAGACTTCGGTGAGGAACTGGCAGAGCTCTGGAGGAAGGTTGGGGTATACTTTTTGTCAGAGAATTACTTCTAGCTCACAGCATTGTCTATGTTGACACCTCCTCGTTGGTCCTGGAATAGTCTGAGATGGAGTGGAGGGTCTCCAGGCTCCTCACATAACTCTGTGAGCAGCTCTGTCCTGCACAGGCAGCTTCAGGAAAAACTACAAGAAAAGATATTTTAGGGATTTTTTGGGTTTATGTGTGGGAGGGAATTAAAACAACATTTTGAAATTTCTGTTCTGTGGGACATTTTGATCACTGCTCTTCTGTTTCACAACAGAAAAATCTTTGGGATTTCAGTATTCTCCACACTGGAAATTCCTGTTTTGACAAACTCTGGTAGTGGTGACTCGCTTACAGACTCTTAAAAGAGAAGATTGGGGTGTGATCTCATGAGATTACCTAGTGCAGGGATATTAAAGAGCAGTTTGTTGGTAGTTTTATCTGTGAATGTCCGCAGAAATAGGGATTCCATTACTTTCCTTAGGAGAGAGTGTATTTTGTCCTTGGCCCAGGGAATGGGACAATCTTCTTTGAGCTGAATTTTTAAAGTATTAAAATTATGACTGATTTCTTTAAACCTGACTGTCTTAAAGTGGGATTTGGGGAGGAGGTTGGTCACGTATATTGCCTGGATTCCAGACCCTGCTTGCATTGCGTCCTGTTTATCTTGTTGAAATTGTGGTTCCTTTGGAAACATAGTGCCTAGCCAATGTATATACTTCTCCCAGGTTGCATTTTAGGGATTTGCTCTAAATCCAAAGTAGAAAGAATTGGAACAAAAGCGAAGGGTTTAGAGCACAAACCTCCTGCTGCGGAGCCTTTTTTAAAGCGTGGTTGGGTCTCCTTACAATCAGCCATACTTATTCTTGGGGTTAAGGCAGTGGCGCAAGTTGGCAGATAAGGGAGGAGAGAATTGGCATAGGGTGGGCTCCGTGGGATAACTGAGGTACCTTTCCTTGGTACTCAAAGGCTATAATCAATCCTGGTTTGAACTCTACCCTCCTGTAAAGGTGTATACACCTTGTCCCAGAAAGCACACCCTGAGGATAGCTCTCTGCATTTGCTTTTATTGAAGACACAAGGGTTTTGTAAGGGTAAAAGGGATGTGGGGATTAGCTGCATGATTGAAGTGGAAATGCAAGTGGTTCTGATGAATGCTGTTGAAGGCACACTGCAGTTCTGAGAATGTCCAAAATGGGTCCTTGAGTTACTTTCTGGAGTACTGAAGGTTCTTAGAAGATAAGAAAATTATCAGGATTCTCCTTTGCTGATGCTCATATTTGCTTTTATCCATTACCAGACAAGTGGGCATGGAGTCGGCTCAACCCATCTGGAGTGAAACCCACTCCTAGGTCTGGCTTCTCCGTGGCAATTGGTCCCAATAACCGTTCCCTTCTGTTTGGAGGCGTGCATGATGAAGAAGAGGAAGAGAGCATTGAGGGGGACTTCTTCAATGATATGTATTTCTACGACATCGGGAAGAACCGCTGGTTTCCTGGACAGCTAAAGGTTTTGTTTTAAGTAACACAAGTATATTCCCTTCATTCTCACTGATCATCTGACACATGTCCTTTGGACCCTTTTTTCACCTCATACAGCTTCCTCACAGTGTGGAGCAAGCCTCCGTTTCTGATAATTTAGGGTGCTCCAGAACCTGAGCCACCAGATGTGGCAGCTGCTTTGATTTGTGACCTGCTGACTGTGAGTAGGGGAAGAGGCTGTAGAAATGAAGCTGAGGACGTGCAGCTCCAGCAGGTTTTAGCTACCAGACCAGCTGAATTCTC